ATCCAATAATATGGCTTCCTACTAACTAATGATAGGATAACACTATCTAAAAGAGGAGGAAAAGAACAAAGACTTTTTAGTAGGTAGATCGCTCGTAATCGCTTGCTCACAAACTAAAACAGTTTTCACACCTCACACTTTCCAAAACAAACACTTTCATCCAATAAATATTTTCAAAACAAACATTTTGTATACATTCTCAACGATATGAGGATCATTACAAAATTGCCTCACTTATACATTTTCAAAATATTTTAAAACATACACAAACACAAAGCATTTCAAAAGTGAGCTAGCAATTAAGAGCCCGAAGATAACTACGGATGAAAAGAATGCTAACACCTTCCCTTTTCATAACCTACCCCCCTTACTCAGAAAATTCTCAAAAGGTATTTCTTGTTCTTTTCACCCTTTCCTTTATTGGATAAAAGAAAAGTTGGTGGCGACTCTTGCTATCTACAACATTTGGGATAAAAAGCAAAACACAAAAGTCAGTTCTCCCGTCGTATTACTGATCTCATTATTATCTTCTATCTCCTACCTCGATAACGTGATATCTTAGTTAGGTGTTTAGTCTCTTATGACGATTAACTCTCGTTCTTCTCTTGCCTAGATAATGTGATATCTTGGTTAAGAGTCAACACCCCTTGTTCTTCTTGCCATAATGACGTGCTATCATGGTTAAGAAATACATATTCCCTCATTCTTGCTTGCCTCAATGATTTGATATCTTGGTTAAATCTATCATTATCCTACCTTGATGTCTCGATATCATGGTTAGGTGCCCCTTCTCCCTTGTCCTACCTCGATGACACGATATCGTGGTTAGGCATGATCCCTCTCCCTTTCCTTCCTTGGTGACATGATACCTTGGTTAGGCGTGTGTTACTTGAGTGAGTGGATACTCCTCAAGCTTAGTATATTTACCTTTTATTAGACGTTTACATGCTCCCGTAGGATTTCTCGATTCAATATTAGGAAGTGAATTAAGATACACCTTAGGTTGCAAACCATGCATGCCAATACTGGGGATATTTTCCTTTTATCCTTAACTATAGGATCAACTTTGCATGACAACTCTAGACTTCCTTTTCTAGTTTCCCATAGGTCCTTTCTTTCTCTTTTGCATCCGCATTAAAACTAAAACTTCTTCTTTTTCTTTCAACTTCAAAACACTCTAATAATACAAAAACTCTTTTTCAAGGTAACAAATACCAACCAATTCAAACTTCATTTTGCCGCTTGGCTTTTCTTTTTAAACCATTTTTCAAGGTAAAAAACATATAATAAACCGAAACATGTGAGCTAAAGTACAATGCTCTGATTCCTCGAAAGGGATACATAAGCATTAGGTCGCGGAGCCTAGGCGAGCAAAACTTTGTAAATATTCCTTCTGTTCCCCGTATTTTCTTTCGCATGCATTCCCTTTTAGCATTAAGCTTTAGATATATATTTTTACACACCCTTAGATTAGATCAAACAAGAGTGGATCCTATGGAGTACCACAGACGCGTGGGGTGCTAATACCTTCCCTTCATGTAACCGACTTTAGTACCCTTTCTCTTCGTCGCAAGACCTTCTTATCTATTTCTTTTGGGTTCTCTCGATATCTTCCCTTCCTTCGGGATAAATAGAGTTCGTTGGCGACTCTGTGTCTTTTTCTTGGAGCGACAGCAAGATCCTATGCAAATACTCCAATATGGTTACAAACAAGAGAGGAGATATGGGATCTCCCTGTCTCAATCCTATTTTAGATTTCAGAATATTAGTAGGTTCTCCGTTGATAGCAAATCTGTATGATACATTAGTAACACATGCCATAATCTAGTCTATGAATCTTTGAGGGAATCTCATCTCTACCATAATCTATTTCAGGGATGCCCATTCCACAATATCGCATGCTTCCTGGATGTCCATTTGGACCATGTATATTGGGGAAATATTCTTCATACAATACCCTCTCACCAATTCTTGAGCTATCATAATATTTTCATGAATCAATCTCCCCGGAACAAAAGTAGACTGATTATCATTAATAATATACCTGATCACTTTACCTAGTCTCATAGTAAGGATCTTGAAAATTATCTTGTAAATTATATTGCAGTAGGATATTAGTCTCATATCCTTGATAATGGTAGCTTCTTGAGATTTGGGAATCAAAGTGGCAAGTGAGTATTTGGCAGCCTTGTACAAGTTACCAGTGGAGAAGAATTCAAGGACTGCATTAGTAACATCCTTCTTCACAATTTTCCAAGTAGTTTTGAAAAAGTAAGCATTAAATATGTTAATGCCTAGATATTTATTGTTTCCTATGCTAGATAAATCCTCTCCAGTTTCTTTCTCATCAATAGGACTGATGAGTTACCTAGCCTGGTCTCTAGAGAGGACACTTCATTTCCTAACAGCAGGAACATCAATCCCCCTAACCTCTATTGCATTTGTACCAATTAGAGCTTTGTAAAACTCAATAATCTCCTTCTCAATATTTTCTATGTTACTTACAAGCTCCCCACTCTATAGAGTTCAAAGTATATATATCTCCTTCTGTTTATTTTTTCCTTAACAAAATCAAGGAAATAATAGTTGTTGTTGTCTCCAAGCTTGAGCCAATCCACCTTAGACTTTTGCATTTGGATAGACTCTTCCATTTGGTTCAAAAAGATAACCTAATTAGTGAGGATTTGCACTTGTTATATGGCTTGTGTGTCAAATAGATTTTGCTGCAAGTGTTATTGGGCTCTATTAAACTTTTGTCTAGCTTCTTGAATTTGCATATGGATGTTAATGAATTTTCTGTTCAGAGGCCTAATAATAGGTTGAAGCCTTTTTAACTTAGACTATAATATATACATGGAATTACCATCAATACTTTGCTACCAACTGTCAGAAATAATATCCACATAAGCAGGATCAGGTGTAATATAGTTCAGTAATTTAAACATAGATCTTCTCTTGCTTTGCTGGTTTGTCTCCCTCGCCCTCAGAGAGGCATGGTCAGAAATGTTAGGGACAAAACCTCAACAATAGTATCATGATACTCTTGGAACCACTTTATGTTACCAATCATATGGTTAATCCTAGAGTAAATCACACCAGTTGTGTGTTTATTTGTCCAAATGTAATGACAACCTCTTGTGATTGCTTCATACAACCCAATACTTTGCATCATCTCTATTATATCTTTATACCCAGCTTCAGTGGCATTGTTACCACCAATCCTATCTTGGCTTGTCAAGACATTATTGTAGTCACCTATGGCAATCCAAGGAGTCTTTATGTTAGCCCCCAGATTCTCCATTTGTTTCCAAAGCAATCTTCTTTTTTTAAGTTGGTTAAAAGCATAGACAATAGTGACATTGTACTGCAGAATTTTGTCCAGACCATAGACCTCAACATGAATGAATTGTTCAACAATTTGAGCACCTTGACATCCACCTCATTATACTTTCACATCAACCAAATTCTACCATTCTCATTATGACTATAGTTATCTATGTAATTCCAATTATTTCCCATTTTCTTCCTAATTCTATCAGCATTATGCTTCTTTACTCTAGTCTCTAGTAAAGCAATAATTATGATTTAATGGCGGTTAAGATGAAAAAACATCGGTATGGTTCAAGTTAATGATGGTTTAGTTTATTAAGTTTTCTAGGATTCACAGTTGATGTAATTTTTTAACACTTCCATTTCTTTTCTTTTTTTTTGAAAAAAAGTAAATATATTATATTATATAAATAAAACAGGAAATAAAGGCCAATAAACTATATAACAATGTTGGCCATCCACAAAAGGTACAAAAACACCAACAAAAAGAAGAAAAAAAGTAACAAGTAACAAACATGAAATAAAAATCCACCACTAAAACAAAGTAACAACAACCCTCAACACCACAAGTTAGGAAAAAACCCATAAATAAATAAAAAGAGACAGAGATAGAGCTCCTCAACTACGGACCAACAGAAGCGGACACCAATCACCAACGGAGCACATAAATCACACCAACGGAAGGTCGTAGACACTCCAACTACTATTTGTTCAGATGTAAGATAGGATTCTTGAGACAGGTTAAGAAAGCACTGAAGTTACCCATAGACTTACCAAGATACCATTTTTAAGCCAAGAAGATGATCTTGTCTTTCACGTCCTTCGAAATCCCCAATTTACTTGAGAATACTATATATTCAAATATTTTTAAATTGATCAGATCACAATGTGTCAAATCATAAGACAACCTCCCCTCCTCCCCCTAATCCTAGTCAATCCACTAGAGAGATTGAACATTTGAAACAAGACCACTGAATCTCTCGATAAAACCATTGTCCACCTCAACCATCTAAAAATTGTATACCAAACTGAAGTCGCCACCTCACAGGTCACAAAAAGATGAGATGACGTCTCAGTAGCTCCGCACAAAAGAGACAGAAAATACTCCCTGATACCAATGTGATTCCCCTCTTAAATAGGTTTTTTCTTGTAGGAATTCAGTCCTGAAGGAGTTGCCACAAGAGAACACAAATTTTAGAGGGGGTCGAACTACTCCACACTAAGTGAAGTGTTTGATTCGTACACATTTCTTATATATCACTAGGAATCTCCAGAGATAATAAGAAACTATAAGCAGATGACACGGAATAAACACCATCTTTATCTTTGAATTTTGTTTGTCGTAAGTTAACTTAATCTTTTCTTTTGTACAAGATAGTTTCTTTATTATAATATTTTCCTTTAACTTCTTAAGGGAAAAAAATCATCTAAGTAATTTTTATTATTTGAATGAAAAATTTTGTTTAAATATTCTTCAAATTAATGGTACCAGATTAAATACCTCTACCATCATCCTAAATTCCAAATTAATGATACCTTATAGAAAGTAGACACCATCATATCATATATAATCATATAATAAAACTTGAGAAGATATATATCGTAGCCGTGCAAGAAAGCACTTATTCTAATAACTTATTTATACATGACATAACTGATATATGATTATTTTACATACGTAAATCTCCAAAGTTGATAGCTCCATTAGCATTTCCTTCAGTGAAACCAGTTTGATTACTTAGACCTTTTATATTCTGTTTCCCAGAGTTATTATACTTTCCAAATGAACGACGATGGTTCCTTCCAGGCTGAGGGGTAGGATTGTAGTTGTGTGGGGTGGAAGGTGAAGCGTTTTGAGGTTCAGTTTCACCATCATCCTCCATGCTATTCAGCACACCAACTAGACCCTTCAGTGCTTCCAGTTTTTGTTGAAAATCACCCATGGAATGGAACTAAACTCTGCTAATAATTTATGTATTTTGTATAAGACTATAGATTAGTATAAGTATTCTTTTATAGATGGAGAGAAGGAATATAATCATTATTCACTCAAATAAAGTTATTCTCGGTGGAGTATATATAAAGTTGAAAAGTTAAAGCATCTTAATCTTGATATAATTGATTCTCATTAAAAACACAATAAAAACGTTAAATTGTGGCTGCTGGGATTCGAGCCCAGGTCTCCACGGCCACAACGTGGAATTCTTACCACTAAACTACAGCCACTTTGTTGTTAAGTTTCTTCGGCTGAAAATTATATTGCTTCTATTACCTTGAAGCAAATGGAAAAGAATTTTAGGTTATGCAAGTATTTTAGAAGTGTTGAATAACTTTATGTGTCATCTATTTTCTCTAGCATTAGAGGTTTAAGTCATCTTTCTTATCATAGAATGAGATATGTAAATAAACAATATTCATGTATACTGCAGTACATAATGCTTGTGATGTTTGTCATTTGTTTAGGTAAAAGATATTTTTTTTTCTGTTAGCACTAATAATGCATTTGAAATTTTTGATTTGGTTCATCAAGATATATATTATAGGGACCATTCTCTACTACCTCTATGTGTGGCTTTAGGTATTTTTTAAATAAATTTTTCCTTGTTGAGTTCTACTCTTTAAAGAGGATAATACATGAGTAAATTTGTGTGTCAATGCCATAACAAAATGGTAGAGTTAAAAGAAGGCGCCAGCACATTTTAAATATAAGTAGAGTACTTGTATTTCAATCATAATTGTCAAAGAAATAGTGGTCATATCCTATCATAAACTCTATTTATATGATGAATAGAATTCCTATAAAATATTTATGGAACAAATTTTATTATGAGGTTTTATATGGTAATCTGAAGTTTTTTTAGGTGCTTGTGCTGTGTTGTGTGATACAGTTTTTTTTCATTATCAAAGTGTATTAATTATAGTACCCACATTTACTTGCAAATAATTTAAATGTGATAAATTTTTTTCACTATTTTAATTAGGATTTTGAAAAAATTTGTAAAGTAAACAATTAAGTTTAATAAAACAAAACTTAACAAATTAAAAAGTAATGTTGATATTAGATTTTATTAAATAATTCTTTTGATATGGCGAATGCGCAAACCAATGTCGATCTACTGTATAAAAATTTGGAAAAAGCTAACATGTGTCTAAGGACACAAGTTAATCAGCTATTTGTAGAAATATTTTCTTAAAATATGTGTGTTCAATATTTTGAAACTTTAAATATAACTATATTATATTTAATTACATTTATATTTTTTTAATTATAGTATCATTAACATGTGTCCTTAGAGCACATGTTAGCATGACCCTAAAAGTTTTCATACCGGATTTTTAAGGTACACTTATAGTCTCCACTTTGTACTACACTCATCTTAAATTTTGAGTTAACTATGAAGTGTTAACCTTGCATCTCCATCCCCGAGCCTTCGTATCAGAGATCAGTACCACCGATTCATGATTTCTCATTATCAACATACACATAATTTTGGTTTTAGAACGAAACAATGATGTTGTTTGTGAGAATTAACTCTTAATTCCCGCAAAAAAATTCACGAATAGATCATCCTAGATCTAAACTCGGATCCATATCAGAATTGCAGAGAAATGGAGGCAATCACCTCCAATGTCACACCGAGGTCCTCGTTCAACCTCCTCATTTCGTATCGCCGCAATAATCTGCCACCAACGAGTTCTGAAACGTAACAACTTCTAACGTAGATGTGCTACCAGAGTACTTCCTCCATATGGAAAATAATCTCCAAATGGTAAACGAAATCTGCATTGTACTAAGATTACTAGATCACGATGAGGTAAAAGGAGTATCGAACGCAAAGTTACTACTGATTATAGTGATTATTATCACGAATCACACTACACATTATTGTGACGCCAATTGTTTGGTATTCTGATTCTTTTCCGCTGTATTTGATTGTCCATTGAGATCTATAACATCGTAAAATTAAGCGGTGATCCGACATAAAGATACCTCTTCTGAATGGCAGAGTGATATTGAATCAAGAAACAAGAATCAAGGTGTATATTCATGAAGTTTTAGATATTCCAATCAATAATATTTAGATTGAGTGAATTCCAAGTGTGTCAAGGATCCTAAAGGAAAGAGTGTGATTTATATTATATTTGTGGCATCATTTTGAAATGATATTATCTACACTCTTAAGGTCATGACACTTCTTGTAGATGTGTTAAGAATAGTTGATAATGGAAAAAAATATGCAATGGGTTACATATATTCTGCAATCACTACTACAAAACGCGTATACAACAACACCAAAGTCACCACGGTTTGCTCCAAAACCGTAGTGACACTGCTAAACTAATGTGCTAACATTTTTTTATTGAAAATTTTGAGGTTATAATTACGGTTAATTCCCTAACCATGGTGGTACAGTTCGGCTTTCTTGGGTTCGATCCTCAACTCCCTCAAATAGTTTATTCATTTTACGTTAGTGCACGCCTTTTCAATTATATTTATATAAAATTAAAAAATAATAGGGATATCACTACGGCTCTTTTGTACAACCGTTGTTACACATTGGCGATTATTTATATATATTAAACACTAAGTACCCATTCTTCCACTGATTAAAGAAACAACCCTAAAACCAACGTCATTGACATCGTCGGGAAGAAGAAAACAACCCTAACACCACACTCATTATTGTTATTCAGTTTCGTCTCAGTTTCGCATTTGAAGAGTGACTCATCCAAAGATGTAAAATCTCGATCTGGAAATTTTTGTGCTTGTGACTGTCGTATGGTTTCGTTCCTATGCAAGAGAGGTCAAAATAAATGAAGGATTTTTTTGGAGATGTCCAAATTGGTGAACTGATGAAACATGTAATTTGTTCATACGGGAAGATGAACAAAAATTGGAAGATGAGAGTACTATGATGCCAGAGTTGGATTATGTTGGGTATTTGAAGGTTATGTATACAAATTCAAAAAAGAGCAACAAGAATTTGAAGAACAAACTGAAGTCATAGAGATTTTCTAGAAATTTGAAGATGTTATGTTTTCTTATCTCCTTTATGTTTAATATTACTTTGTTATAAAATGTAATAGTTGAATTAGGGTTTGAAATTTAAAAATGTTATGTTTTCTTATATCCTTTATGTTTAATATTTACTTTGTTATTATGAAATGTAATAGTTGAAGATGCAGTGAACTTGACAAGAATATGCAACTAACAGACAATTTTTTATGAGTAAGTTCATCGCAAACCGTTGAATTTTCAGTTACAATAATGTGTTTTATATATTTTGTAGTTTAAGATGATAGGTTAAATTGAATGTTTAAGTTGATAACCTTAAGAGAGTTAAGCTTATTAAAACTTCATTACATAAGACTTTCATTACATGATCAAAAACCATAATCAAATCTAAATCCTCTCGCTAAGATAAAGTTAGACCAATCATAGTCATCCTCATCATCATCATCATTAGAATTGAAAAAAAAATCATCATTTGTCTTCTTAACCTCCTCCTTCTTCTTCTTCTTCTTATTCTTCTTTTTCTCACCCTAAGAGTTCTCATTAGTTTAAACACAACACCCTCTACTGCAACATCTTGAATCTGAAGATGGTTTTGCATCAAAACACCCTCTACAACTACATCTTGATTCTGAGGCTGGTTTTGCACCATAACACTCTCTACAACAACATTTTAATTCTCAACATTGTAGGTAGCTTGAGCAGGATAACACATCTTGATTCCTTTGGATGAAGTTGTTTTTGTGTTTTGGTTCTTCTACTTTTATATTATTCCTTCTGATTCTTCATCTTCTTCTCTTGGAAGTTTAAAAACCAAACTCATCATTGTTTTTTTTTAATTCTATACTCTATCTTTTCTCTTGGAAGCTGGGAAGATTGTATACCTTGAATTATTTAAATTTTGATGTACTTAATGGAATTGTGTACTTGTAATACAAGTATTTATATCAATTTAAAATTGGTTTAATGCTGATTCTGGTATGAAAATTTGACATTTACTCATATACAATATCACAATGGTTAATAGGAATAATTATTGTTATAAGACACACATTTTCCAATTTACTACGACGGTCACTGGACCGTAATTGTAAGTACCGCATATACAATCACACGCTACATGACAACGCTTGATCCCTCATAGTTATACATCTTTCTCAACTGTTATTAAATGTCTTTTCCGTAATAGTGAATGGAAGTTTTCAAGGAATCAATTTAAAAAGTTTTTAATTTTAAGGCAAGCAAGTTCAAAGACGTAATTGCAAACATTGATAAAAGATGGGAGTGTCAACTTCATTATCTGTTGCATTTTACATATTACTATCTAAATCTTAAATATTTTTATAATAAACCAGAAACTGAGAATGATACCAAATTGGTGAGAGATCTTGGTAAGTGTATTGAGACCCTTAGTGAATTCCATGAAGTGAAAGATATAATTTCAGCTCAATTCATACAATACAATAATGTTGGAAATCTCTTTGAAATAGGTGCAACAGTTAAACAAAAGTCGACATTAGCTCAAGATAAGGTGGAAGTTCACTTCTTACAATTATTATATATATATATATATATATATATATATATATATATATATATATATATATATATATATATATATATATATATATATATATATATATATATATATATATATATATATATATATATATATATATATATATATATATATATTCTAACCCGACCAATTACACAAACATAAAGTCACGGGGACTTTTGCACTAATCGTAATAACCGACACCCCATTCTACAACACTGCTATGACGATCCAAAACTAAGAGATCAATTTAATGTTTGACACTTTATCATCTACAGAGCTAATAGAATTTCTAAACATAATATTATTTCTCATCTGCCACAAACACCAAACAATCGCCATCCAAATCACCCCTATTTTTTATTTCCATATTTTACCCCATAAGTCCATAATGAATAAAGAATTTAACCCCATATCCATCCACGCAAAAATCTTTTCCCAATCCTTCACACTAAATTTGCGGTGGAAAAAATAATGAATTAATGTTTCATTAAATTTGAAGAAAACGACGCGAACCTTATCATGAGAGTTTATCAAAATCCCTCTCGTTGCCAATTGATCTCGAGTCGAAATTCTATTAAATCTCAATCTCTAAGTGAAAACTTTGATTTTAGACCGAATACTTGTTTTCCAAATTCTCTATATCGCTTCTAAAGTAGCAACTCCGCACTGATCCTTTGCTTCTATTGCGTACAAAATGTCATAGCATCTTTTGACTGAGAAAAATCCATCCACGCTAGGAGTTCAAACATACTTATCTGCAAAAAAGGGTGTGATGACATCATCCCTAAGAATAATTGGCATCTTAGGATGCTGCTCTATTATGTTAGCAGCATGGATCAAGTCATAACAGAATCTTACCCAGGACCATATTTCGTTGCTCCAATTGCCACTATCAGTGGTACACTCCTCCTTGTTGCTTACTACATGAAACAAAGCTGGAAAGGCCAACCTGAAAGGCACGTTCCTGATCCACCTGCAAAATTAGAAAAATAAGTTGTTTTCTGCACCAACTGTGCTCACTATTTTGGACGCTAACTAGTCATTTTCTGTTGGATTCTTTCCTCCAATCGATTGAATATCTTGCCACCAAGATGAAGCTTTACTTGGGCAGAAACCACACAAACTCTTCTGTTGGATTCCTTCCTCCAATCGATTAAATATCTTTCCACCAAGATGAAGCTTTCCTAGTTCCTCGAATAGAAACCATGCAAAATCTGAAAGAGTAATCTACATAACTGTAAAAATATATTGAAGAGTAATTTAGTATTTTTAGTATATTTCCTATGTGGCCCTAGTTTGTGTGTATAAATAGACTATTAGTAGTTTTCATATTTAACCTATTTTTTATCTACATTTTTGTAGTCGTCATTTTGCAGAGCAATAAAATATATTCTCTCACTCTTTCTGTCTTCATCACCTTGTGCACTAACAATTGGTATCTAAAGTTTTGGTTCGGATCCACAGGGAAACACAAGTGAAACAGTGAGGCATTATGTGATTGATTTCGTGAACAAAATCGTAACATAATCACATCTTCTGAATTTTTGCAATTAGGAAACACTATGTTTGGTGAGATCTAAGTGACTTGCACAAGGTTGAAAATGAGTCAGAAATCGAAGGTGATTCTGATGGTGAATCTGATTCTGATCCATATTTTGACGATGATTCAGAATCTGGTGGTGATCATGCTTCTGGAAGGAAAAACTTTGAAGACGTAGGTTCTGGAAGACAAGCTTCTAGAGGTGATCATGCTTTTGAAGGTAGGGGTTCTGGACGAGGTCCGGGTAGAGGTTCTGGATGAGGTCCATAAGCTAACAAAGTTCCGAGTTCTGTAGAAGATTCAGAACAAGTTCAAAAGCCACAAAGAATCAGATAAATACTAAGAAGGTTTACAGAGTTTGACATATTGCAAAACACTGAAGTGGATTTCGAGGGAGAAGTCCTTCAGTGTGCCATGTTAGTAGATTCTGAATCAGTGGGTATTGAAAAAGCTCTCAAGAAGAAAATGTGGTTGAATGCCATGAAATAAGAACTTAAGGCTATGGAAATAAACAAGACTTGAGAGTTGACTAAGTTTCCAAAGGAAAAGAAAGCCATGAGCATCAGATGGGTTTTCAAGATAAAATTTAAGCCAAATGGATCAATTGGCAAGCATAAAGCAAGGATAGTGGCTAGAGGTTTTCTTCAAAAACCTGGTTTAGATTATTTTGAGGTGTCTGTACCTATAACTAGACATGAAACAATCAGATTAGTGATTGCGATAGCTGCAAATAGGAATTGACCTCTGATGCATCTGGATGTGAAATATGCATTTCTGAACGGTCCATTACAAGAGGAGGTTTATGTGTCACAGCCTCCTGGATTTATGAAAAAGAATGAGGAATGGATGGTGTACAAGTTTCATAAAGCATTGTATGGATTGAAGCAAGCGCCTAGAGTTTGGAACTTTAAGATTGATTCTTTTTTCAAGAAGCATGGGTTTCAGAAATGTGAGATGGAATGTGGCATTTATGTGCATCATTATGGAGACAATATGATTTTGGTATGTCTCTATGTTGGTGAAATATTGCTGACATGTAGCTGTTCTAAGGAGGTAATCAAGTCCAAGAAGGTTCTGATGAATGAGTTTGAGATGACTGGCCTAGGAAAGCTGGTATACTTTCTAGGGATGGATGTATTGTACTCTGAGAAGGGTATAATTTTACATCAGTTTGTTTCCAGTGATTTCTGGTAAACAACCGCTAGTCTTCCAAACTATCGAATAATCTTTATTAACGCTACTCAATCTCTTTGGTAACTCACAGGATCGACTAGATTGATCCTAGGACTCCTTGGATATCAAGGTTACTCTCACAATCGAACAATTATTCATGGGTGCTATTGTATAAATGTTTGGTTTGTTTCGATCCCTCTCTCTAAGAGTTTAAGAATGTGGTCAAAATGTATGTGAAACTAAGTTATACGAATGATTGCTAATTGTAATGCTGATTGAAAAGACATATGAAACTGTATGGAAAATGAAGTAACTGGTTTCGATCCATAAAACATTTAACACAAAAGGTTTCTGGAATGTGGAAGTTTAAAATGTGAAGAAAGCGTTTAATGCAAGAAATCTAGAAATGACTTTGAGTGAAAGTAAATGTTTGAAGAATAATACTTGAAAGTAAAGACATTGAAAGCGTAAAAGTTCTCTGAAATATGAAGTGCTTCGAAATATAAAGAATGCAATAAAATGTAAAACTTTGAAGAAAAGACTTTGAAATGAAAAGACAGTAGATAAAGAAACTTGTAAATGTTATTCGACAGAAAGAAAAAGAAGGAAAGTGCTGGAAATAGTAGAAAGGCTTTTATTGAATTAAAAATACATGGTGCTATCATACATACATCTCTCTTGCATTCGTTTCCCTTGCCATGTGGTAGTTTGAATGTTATTGAGTATTTTGTATAACAGATATGACACACTGAAATCCTAACACTAAGACTTCTATTTATACTAATTCGACCCTAACGGTCTCGCTACAAGATCATGCCACGTTTCGAACATGCAAGACAATGCTCCTTTCATCTTTCCACGTGTCCTCAAATGCTCCAACACATAACTTTCAAACTTTGAAAGTCCCGCTTTCATTTAAATTTCAAATGCCTTGGTGTTTCTCTGCTTCGAACGCTCTTCTTAGACTTAGCTTCGCTGCTGTTTCGAGATCCCTTTGGATACGCTCCCAAGATCACCGTTCGAAGCTTCAAGCTTTGACACACTCATTCGAAACACTGCTTCTGCAATTTCGAAGCGTGGTGTTTTAATTCCATTTCGATCAGAACTTCTAGCTCTTTTTAAATTCTAAATAACATTATCAAAATCTTCAGCCAACAAATTGCCCCTTTAAAATATGTATTTCGATCTCTCTGAGAAATACCTATTTTAAACATTTATACAAGATTTTGATAGGATCTTCGAATCATCATAGCATTTAATGCGTTTGACCCTAGTCACATCAATCATAGCACCCTTTGGGTACCTTAACCGCCCAAAGTCACTTCACAGCATGGTGCAGTTATAAGTAATGATTGTTTTTAAAATCACGCCTATTACCTATATCAACTTCTCGCCACCTCTTCATCACACCAATCCATGATCTCCACGTATCATACTTTCACTCGGTGGATGTTTCATCTTCTTATTATAAAACGTCAATTTAACCTTCCTTTTTCCTTCTTTACACTCTAAACCTTTCAAACTCTGGAATTTTACTCTTCTTCTCTCATAAACACTCTAAACTCTCAAACAACAAAAATGTCTTCCTCCACATCATCTCAACTCAAGAAAGCCTCCAAGAAGAAGGGAAAAACTACAGGAGCAACTATGGAGAGTAAAATCGTCACCATTCAAGGCCAATCTGCTCTTGCTCCTCAAATGATCTCCAAAGAAAAAGAAATGTTGTACGCATCACAGGTACTCATCCCTACCCATGTCGCTGGTAAGAGGTTAGCCTTAAATGGCCCTCTTACAGTTTTTGAAATACTAAAGGACACCAGGACCATTTTTCCCGTGTGTTACAACTTCAAACCTTTATTCAACAAAATGGATGCCCCTAGGGCAGTAGAATTTCTTAATCCGAAAACCACAGAAACCTCAACTGTTCATCCCAAGGACCCATTTATCTTGGATTATGTAAAAAGCAATTTTAAACCATTCCGATCTTGCCCTACTGCTGATGTTGCTTATCAAAACTGGTTTACGAAAGTAGAAGCCAAAAAATCCCAGCAATGGGAAGAACTAGGCATTTATAACCTTATTAAGCTGTCGAAACCTGGATTCACCTATAGTCATCCTCTGCTATTTGCGTCCCTCTACTTCTGGGATAGTACCTACAACACTTTCCATCTTCCAGGTGGAATGATTACCCCAACCTTCTTCGATATAGCAGCCATTACTGGGCTATCGCCAGTGGGGGAAACCTATGTTCCTGACAATGAAGAGCACTCAAGCATAATTGACTTTGAAGTCAAGTTAGCCAGCTTCTCCAAATTTATCGGCCATTATCATGCTGAAGGGGATAATGTGTCTGACACAGAACATATTGCTTTCTTAACTCTGTGGCTGTCTAGGTACGTTTTCTGCAGTAGATCCCTGCAGGTAGCTAGTAGGTTCATTCCTTTAGCTAGGGATTTACACGAAAATCGCAAAGTGTGCCTAAGCGAATTACTCTTAGTTGACCTCTATGAGAGCCTGAGGTCAGCTGTTTCGAGCCTCAAATCCCACACTTCCAAAAACATTCTTTTAGCTGGCCCATTTTGGTTACTTCAATTATGGCTCAACGCCATGTTCGAACCTTCTTTATCAACTGCCAACACCATAGACGAACAAGATGCAGAAATAAGTGATAGGATAGTCGAAGGCACTAGGCTTCGAAGACTAACCCCTAATGATGACAAGGATGACTTCAAGGTTCAATTTTCGAAGTACATCTTGATACTCTCAAAAAGACACAAGTTCGAAGAGAGCATGGCGCCCTTTGCTTCGAGGGCTCATGGACCTTCTTGGTTCACCATGGCTCTCTCAGAAGCCATCAAGAGTAAGGAAATCCAAGATGTGTGGAGAGCTTTCTTGCTTCCTAGACTTATCTCTTCAAGGATAACCCCAGCTAAGAACCAAATTCTTCTCTTTTCCTACCAGCCAAACTTCGTTTCGAGGCAGTTTGGCCTATGCCAACTGATTCCTGAACCTTTGTTCCAGACTGAGAGTGCCATCACATCTGGTCGAACTTTCAAGGCAAGGGAAGCCAAGATCCAACAAGAACAATACCAGGGCTTTGCCCAATTTGAACTGATAGCCTTCGAGCCTACTCATCTCGCGGCCAAAGGATTTCTGGAGTGGTGGATTAAGTTTTATCAAACTTGTATGTTCGATACGCTTACTATTCGACAGAAACTAATTGATGCCTTCGATGTGCAGGTACCAGCAAAGAAAGGTATGTTTACTCATGCCAAAGAAATAAAAGCTTTTCAAAATTACTTCGAAACTACTTACGACCCCACACGCTTGGACTCCACTGTGCATCAAGCGGCTGAGACCTTGAAGGAAAAATTTAAACAAAAAGTTTCCAAGCTAAAACTTCCTTCAGGGCTGTCACCTGAGGATAGGTATAGGTTGGCATTCGAAATGCATCCACCTAAATTTCCCAGATTACCTACCTCAGAACTGGCTCT